TGTCAAAGCCTCGGGTCAATCATCCGAGGACGTTTATACGGGCGCTCGCTCGCGATCGCCACGATCGCGAGCGAATCGAAAGGCTCATCTCTCGCGCCTTCGCTCGCCTTGGCTCGGCTAATATCACCGATGAAAGTGAGTTTACCGCCGCGCCGGCGGTAAAAGGATGCGCCTCTCTGCAGAGGTTACCTCTCTCTCTCTCTCTCTCTCTCCTCGCTGCGGCCTCGCAGCCACGGCGGATAGAGAGGCGTGGGAGACACCGTGTCATTCACTAGGTAGTGCTTACTATATCGCTATCGGGACGTCGCATCACGAGAAACGATCGAAAGCCGCGCACGGTTACTTTTACGGCCGGCAACGGCGCGCACGAAACCGCCGCTCGCCGATTCGGTAAAACGTCCGGGGTATACACGGCCCGGATAATACATCGCGTCGCGCCCCGAGGCGCATCGTCGCGCTTCCTCCTGACTGCGATTCTCTCATAGGAGAACCTCAGTCGTAAATTCCCGGGGCACTCCGGGCGGAGGAGAGATCCTTCCGCGACGAGCGGACGCTCACACTCGGCGTGACAAACTTCGCCCCCGCGATTTCGAGACTCTTAATAATCAGGGTTGCGCAGGTCACGTCTGCGGAATTTACGTGACCGCGTGATGCTCGCGCCTATTTCTTGCATTTCGCGGGTAACAACGTAAACTATGTAAAATGTTATGAATTGCACAGTGCTGAGAGAGAAATATGATAATTCATTGGTTGAAATTAATTTAAATTATGAAATAGTTCCAATAGTCCTCCAATTGGTGCTCCCGGTCGGCTTAGGATTCTAGAAGCGTCGCCAATTCTATAATTAGAACATTAATTAAATTAAAACTCAATTCATTTGGCCGAATTCAACAATTTAGAAAAATAAAATCAAAATGTTGCTATTCGCCGAAAAATGAAGGCTCTTCCGGTCAGTCAGCTGTAGCCAATTCTCAGCCGAAAATTATGGTCGGGGTCAGTTTAGAAAGCTAATTTAATCCACGATAAACTGTATATTTTGGATTTTAAATTCATTAAAATATTTAAATAGAGCTTATCGTACACAATTTGTTAGCGTTCTCTCTGTTTATATATACTTCAGTGATCGTTATCTCCCCTCTATTTCTCTCCTTGACTTTCCAATTTTGTTCACACACTCCTAAAATTACTTCTCACAAAATGTACAAGTTGCACGTCCTTTGTAAGTAAGATGATATTAATAATCTTTCAATAAATCAAAAAACTCATTTTTAGACCTCAGAAGCTGTGTGTTAATTTGACATTGGAATATTAATCGAAAATCGCGAGAAAATGTTAACATTTAGACGAGAGATTTCCTACTGTGTATCCAAAGAGACGACGTATCGTGCACAGTTGGCATTGTCTACGCGTAGACGCAGACTTTCTTTATTGTGTTGAGATACGAACGCCCACAACCTTGCTCTTAATATTCGATCGGCCTGTGCGAAACGGATTCCGACCCCGTCGGATCCTCGAGATCGGAGACGGGGGAAATCAAGCATGATTATCGGCTGTAATTCAAATCACTCCTCCGAGATTGCGATTACATCGATATCCCGCGCGGCCGAAACTGCGCCTTGACATTGGAGTAACCCGTGAGCCTTTTTAAGGCGGCCTCCGGTGGCTTAGCCGGGAGAAAGCGCGCGCGACGCCTTTTGGAACGACGGCGTATAAATTGTCTCTCGCGATATTTGCATCGATCCGTAGGAGCGTCTGACGAATTTCAAGGCGTTTTACGGCTATGTCCGACGTATCGATGAGCGAGACTCCACTTTGTTTCGCAAGGCATCGTCGCGCCAGTCTCGATGATATAATGGGATGACAAAGGCGAGATGACGAATTAACGTGGTTAAACGTATCTGCGGCCGAGAAACGAGAACGGGGAGAAAGCGAGGAAGACCAAGCCGGAGGAGAAGCTGGAGCTTTAATTGCGAAGGAAAAAGAGAGAATCGAGATTTCTTTTCGCGTTTCTTCCCCCTTTCTCTCCTTCGGATCCCCCTGACATTCTCCCCCTCCGCCTGAGATTTATCTTACATCTCGTGATTTTATGATAATTCGATTTTTATACTTCTCTTAATTCAGTTTCTAAATTTTTATGCGCCGGCCCCGCACATGTGATCGACGTACTTATTAACGTGGCGAATCACACCGCCTATCGGCCGTGCGTTACCTACGCTGATTGAAAGCTAACGTTGCAAGCCTGAAACGACCCGGTGTGCGCGCGTTAATAATGACGATACATAATGAATCCTCGGCGGAGGATCCTGCTGAAGAATCCTAGATAAGAATCAGAGAGTCGTGACACCGAAAGTTCATAGAACGATGAAATGCCCGTCCCGAATGGAGCATCACGGCAAGGAGCGTAGTATCACAGTGCGGGCGCGCACACACGCACACACAGAGGTATGCTGGAAAGCACAAGAGTCGCTCCTTTATCGGCAAAAATAAATATTTGCCTCGCGTTTAAATATTTGGCGTTACCTTCATTCAGCGCGCGCTAAATTTCGGAAGCCGGAGGGCAGCTTTGGAAACTCGAGATGAGTGTGTGTGAGTTTCAAACGAACGATACACGCCGGGCGATAGAATTCTGCGATGCAGCGCGCGTGCGTATGATCATGTGGATTTAGTGTTACTACTGGTGAATTAATGTTTATCCAGAATGAGAGTGTGCCGATAACCGATTTAATCGTAGGTCACGTCGATGCTGCGGGTATCGGCGTGCAATTAAAATAAAAGCATTATTATTATTATTATTATAAGCTGGGCCGAACGTTCAGTGACTATTACAAATTAATTTGTTTAGATAAAATAAATATGCACTCCCAAAATTTAGTTGTTTCAGCTATATATTTATGTCACCAAACTAAACTTTGAAAGTTAAAACTACCAATAATTAATAATTAATTACCAATTAATTATTAACTATTAATTAATAATACCAAGTCTTGATGATATTTGGTAATTATTACCGAACATATAGTCCGTAAGGAAAATTATTTTATGTGATTTTTTTCAATTAACTAAAAAAATTTCATCATTCTACGTAAACTGTCTTGAAATCACTTGACGTCTTCTTTTACTCTGATTCATTATTTTCACTAGTGAAATTTCGCCGTTCGCCCTCGTAACGGCTACTGATTCTTCTAGCAGTCCACGCTGATTGGTTTCAATGATCAAACACAAAGTGGCGAGTCTTACGAACTCCCGATAATGCCTTTATAGCTCGTGCTTATGCGTACTTGTAGAACAAGATGATTAAAGAACCATATATTTAGCAACAGTTACCAAAAAGCGTCAAGACTTGGCATTAATTTCCCAAGTTTAGTTTAATGACCTAAATGTATAGTTCGAGCAACTAAATCTTAATTCTCGGAACTACATACTCATTTTATCCAATGAAATTAGCTTCTAATTATTATCGCGAGTTTGGTCCGCACTATTTACCTTATATATTTAGTAGCAGTTATTAAATCTTTCTTTCAGTGTACTTTATATGCTGCGTTATAACTAGCAGTTCTACCACAGATTTTATTGTGAATTTCGTTTGTCTAACTATTAAAAAAGATTATCTACAATCTGCGCAAAAAAATCTTTTGGCGAAGTATTAAGTATCATGTCTAGTTTAAGTCGCGATTAGTTTCTTCTCTGTTCAACGATTAATTTTTTATTGTTTGCTTAAAAAAATGTTTAATAATTCTGACGCTAATTACACTTGATGCTAATAGAAGGGTTAGTCATCCTCCTTCGTTAAATTTTCTTCATTACGTATTTTTATTTCTCGATTTTTTAATGCTGCATATCTTGATTATACATCTGTTTCAAATACCCAGTATGTCTGGATGAAAAACATTCATGTCATCAGCTTGAGAACGTTTAATACAATTGTCCCACGTTAATGACTATTCAAAGATAGTTTGAGCAATCTCAAATAATCCCTGTCCTTTTTTCATGCGACTACACGACTTTCTCTACCGAGAGACCTAAAAGATTGCCTCGTTTTTTTTCGCTAGCGGTTGCACAACTTCTAATTCCCTCGATCTTAGCTCATTCACTTGCCGCGCTCGCGGTCGTTCACAGCAAGTAGGATAAGTTGTAAAAGTACATGCCGAAAGTCGAAGAACAGAAAACAAAATATAATGACGAAATATATGACGATTGGATATATCGATTGGATTTATTCGGGACCTCCTAAATCCACACGTGAGAATAGTTGTCACAAATATTATTATAAATATTGTTCCGGCTTATTTGTAACTGCGTCATATATTTATACTTACCATATTTACATGTACTGCGTGTGATGTAACGTATTAGGAATACCCAAAAATAATATCGCTTTTAGACACTTGATAAATTTAATTAGTATACAGCTCGTGTAATAACAAATCACGTCTGCAACCGAGGTGGCGATGTTTATACTGAAGAATCTGAAGAAAAGAACGACATTACTCGCAGGCACCCCCAATAAACACACTTAACGTAGAGCGAAAATTTCGCCTCGGGTATTGAGATTTGATTCTCTATATTCGACTCTGTCCTTCGTATTTTCCTTTCGTCCGAGGGACGCGCCATCGGGAAATTCGTCGACGGATCGGGGATGGAGGAAGCCGAAGCATCCCCTTACACACGTGGGCGATTCCTCCGACACTCGACACGCTGCCAATACACCCCCAAAGGGTGTCGGCATTCCGAGTTTACCCGGCGATATCCCCACCGCGCCTCATCACGCGCGTTTGGGGGTTGCGTCGCGCGTTGCCGAGCCGAAAAGTAGCCGCTCGGTTGTCAAACTGGCGCGGCAGCCCTCAACGCAGACGCCGAGGCGTTCAGGGATCGCTCAGGACGATTTTCCCCGTGCCCGTTGATCAACCGGCCCTGAATGTCGGCGCCGGTGGGGATGGAGATCCTGGCGGCATGAGGTCCGCGCGCCCCACGGGCGACTCGTCAGTATCGTGCCGCGACTCCCTCGCGACGAGAGCCTGCTCCACACCTCCGCGCGAGAGACTCCTCTCTTCTTCTTCTCGCACCTTTCTCCCTCACCGCTTCTCCTGCGCCGTGTCGTCCTCTCGCTCACCTGCAAACCGTCGCGCGGGATCGCGCGTCGCGCGCGCGCGCCTCCACCGTCGCTTTTTTTTTCCCTCCCGGTGACGCCGAGACCGCGTGTGTTGCCACGATTTGGAGGTTTTAAAGGGGAGCCCGAGGGGAGCCAGGATAGTGTTAAAGGGACGTCGGGCCGGTCATTCGACGCTCGCGGGATCTGGCATTAGGTAAGTACGAGATCATTTTCACCGTAGTCGTAACGCAGATTCAATTTGAGCGCGCGTCGCTGATAACGCGATGTTACCGCCGATAGCAGCATCGAGGGAGGGAGAAAAACACCACGACGCGGCGACAGGGGCGCGTATTCGTATTCATCTGCCTTTCGTTCTGCGTATTCATATATATATATATATGTATCACGTATATACATCTACGATTGACTAATTTTGATCTATTCGGAATGCAGGTGTACAGCAGATCGGGGTATTAATGAAAGAGCGGACGCAAAATGAAGAGTTAATGCACGCTAATTAAATGTACTCTACATTCCTTTCATCTCGCTCTTTTATTTCCGCGACATGCAACGTTGCGACACCTGAATTTTGTTAATTAGAATAATAAATCTGAAACGTTGCGCGTATGTGCGAGACAAAAATTGATTTCGCAAGTGTTCCAATGGTGAACAATTTTCTAATTACACGGTAGAAAATTGTATGTTAAAAACGGTTCGCTGAAATCTCGTGAACATGGAAGAGAATGTATGAAAAAATACACAAATATAATGTTAAGTTGAAACATTCATCGTGTAAACATATATTGATAAGGTGAGTGTGTTGATTTAACGTGCGATGTAGCACAAATATTCAAAAAACATCCCAGGGACGTCTCAGAGACGTTCAGATATCTCTGCGACGTCTCTAGGACGTCTTTTGAATATTTGTGCACACGAGATTATATTTGCATACTTCTTAAATGTTAAAAGAAGGTTTCACGCCAAGGATAAAATTCCAGCGGACCGTTTCTGATTTTTTACTGCGTAAGTTTGACTCGAAAATGTAAAATAATTCTTCGTCGTTTGATTGATGCAACGTTGAAATAAACGAAGCACTGGAGATCCAGCCAACGTTGGATCTGAATTTCTGTATATAGGACATCCGGCAATCCTACTTAAAGTCGGGAATTATCGGTACGCGGCTCGTGCATTCTGAATTATAAAGTTATTAGCGCGTCGTACTCGGCACGAAGATTACGTTCGCGCGTATGTGTGTGTACGCGGATCCCCCCCGAACATCGACGAAATTACGATATCTCGCTTGGATGTCCGATTGGAAATTACCATTTTTGTTTCGTACCGTTCGCCGTTTGTCTCAAGGGAAGCGATTAACGTCGTCCCTTTGAAAGTGGCACGTACGGAAGAGCCGCTTCCGCATCCGAAATATAGTCGATCGTGCTACCAGTGGCGCACGATCGTAAATATCACTCTCTCGCGAAAACACGCATCGGTAAATTCGGCCGATTTAAAAAATGCATTCGACGGGCGAGAGTTCTCCGACACGTCCGACTAAAGAATCGTCAGGCCGGGAATTTTCGTAGCTGGAGGTGTAACGCGAGCTGACGCGGATCGATGGTGCGTTACTTTACAAAAATGAGATATTTAACGAGTAATTCTCTTTAATTCCGCCGAATTACTCGGCAAAAGCTGTAGCCGCTGTTTTATCGGAAAAATCGGCCGGGTCGCGATGTTGTTGTCTGTATTTTATTATTAATTAAAACGCACGGTCAGGTGGATTCAAAAATTGCGTTGTTTCCGTGCGATGACAATAGTCGACTGTATTCGTGTGTGTATGTGTGTTAGGTGAGTGAAAAAGATTTTCGAAGTGAAATTTGACTTTGATGCGTTCAACGAGGACAAATTAATCATCGACCAAGTAACCGTCGTCGTTATCCATAATCCTTTGACAACGTTTCGACAGGAAACCATTATCAGCATTATTGCCTGTATTACGCGTGTATGACGTATCATTTATCGGAAATCAAACCGAACTTTTTGACTGACCCAGTGCTATTATGCAAGATGCTGATCAAAGGCTGTCGGGTGATGGATAAAGTCAGATAAAGTTAAGTGTAACAGTGGAAGGTCATGTAAAATGTGAATGAGAGAAAGATGCGAGAAGAATGCGTACACTGCAAATCCAAATGTGTAATTTTACACATGTAGTCACTTTTGACACTTTAATACCAACGTTGTTGACACTATAATTTTAGACACACAGGATAACTCCGGTACATAAACTTAATTTATCAGGTATTATTCATTGCGTTTAAGGCAAATGAACTACACGAATAAAAACTGTATATTGTCTGCTACATTTACACGTGTAAAATTACACTGGTGACGCGTGTAAATAACAAACGCGTGAAAAGGCGTGTAAAATTACGCACTTGGATTCGACAATGTAAACGGGGGGATCCAACACGAAACCTTTATCATGCGAGATGCGGCAAATCTGCCGACGAATTCCTTCGTACCAACACGAATATCGAGCTTTTGATTGAAGGTTGCACACAAGCGATCGTTCTGTATAACTTTGAACTGAGTACTCCCATGTTTCGCCGCTTAATTGAACGACACTTTTGCCGTTAATCTTGTAACCCGGAGGGGTTAGACGCATCGGAGGGTCGTCGCCATTCAATCGAACAAACTCCGGCGCGTTTCCACCGTCGGCCCCGCGCGGGCCAGCCATTTTTATCATTCCCGTCGACACCGCGCGGAAAAGCGCAGTTTTTCAAGCGCGCATTTAAATAACGCGCCCGCCCGACACTCGTGAGAAACGTTTGTCATGCGATAACTTGTCATTTATTTTCGTTGGCCCGCTTCTCGCCGTTAATCTTCGCAATATTGTCGGGCATAATTACGGGGGCGAGCAGGACGGAGCGCCATTCTCACTTTTTCTGGAAATTCACATTTCCGACGCGCCTCGCTTCACGTAACAAGCGGAGCGAACCGAAAACTCGTCGAGTAAGTCGATCGCTCCGTAGCTGCACGCGTCGTTAAAGAGCAACACGCAGGAATACTCGGGGTCACGTAAGGTCGCTCGGTCGCGGGCCGCGCGAGGAGGAATGAAACCCTCGCTCGGGGATATCGTTGCGAATCCAAGTACGTAATTTCACTGTGTGTAGCTCACTTTTTACACACTTTTCACCCGTGTTACGCGTCGTACTGTCATTTCACACACACAGTGGTGCGTAAAAATTACACATTTAGATTTTTACACGTGAATTACAAAAGTGGCTGCAACAAAATATATAAAGTTACGCAGTTGGATTAGCAACGATCAGCTTCCGGGAGAGATCGCGGAAATTCGTCGGCTATTCGCGTGCTATTTGTAATATTCGACATTGGATGTCGCGCGACATTACAAGATTGCGCGCGAGAGGTAATAACCGGCCTTCAGCCGGTTTAGCATTGTGCTCGGTGAGCCGCGTTGAGACCTGTGTGTCCCGCGATCAACAAGATTGAAAATCTCGCGAGGCGAATCATCTCCTCAGAGCGAAATGTCACTGTCGATGAGACGCGTCGCTCACCTCTCCCGCGGCTCTCATCTCACGGAATGTCATTATCCGCTCCGTCCGTCGCCAGCCGACTGACGGTGGAATTACTCGGTAGCTGCGCGATGTGTAAAGGAAATTTCCACCGCTCCATTATCGCGCCGACCGTGCTTGACAGATCCCGCCGGCCGTGAGCCTTTAGCTTTTCGCCGCGCCGTTGAACTTCGGTATTTCATTTACGGCCGATCTCCAATTTGAGATTGTGCCCCCTCCCCCCGCTTATTGATCCTTTCGTGAGGCAAATGACGGCTCTCGACTTGCGTTAAACTCGGAATCCAGAACGAGTCGTTCTCCTTCGTTCCACGCCTTCTGTTGATTGTTTCTCACGTTGAAACGTTTACTTTCTTATTTCTTTGTAAGCGGAGGAAATATATTTGACGATTCTGGGGTAGCTGAAAACCGTGATAGCTATTTCAGAGACTCTCTTAATGGCCTCCCTCCGCGTTTAACGCAAAACTTTTTATCCTTACACGACAGCGTAGCTTGGAAGACGCTCGCACGATGTAAGGCAATTTTCACACTCTTATAATCGAGGTTGCTACACGCACGCGGAACCAGACCCCAATTTGCACGATCACGCCGGCAGATCCTTAACTTTAGCCTCTCTATTTATCAAGGGGGAAGCGAATCTTACATTCGCCCGTGCCTTCCGTTGTCGGATTGACGAAAGGATGTGCGACGATTTCTTCGACGTTATTTCGCGCTCTTGCGCTCCATCTCATCAATATTTCTCATAGATTTATTCATATTAATTGTTCATCGGTGCGTTTAATTTCTCGCATTTCTTGAGAAATCCGCAACTCAAATCGAAGCTCTACTCGAAAGTGGAAAAATATCGACAATGCACAGCGGAAAATTCTGTGAAATTTTCACACATTTCAAATTATACGTAATTATATAATTTTATATATGATTACATATAAACTTTTTCCCCGGATGTATTAATTTAACTTGATATTTTCGCACTTTAACGCGTTCCCCGTGTTAAAGCAAAGGCAAAATTTCAGGCGTGCGATTTTTCAAACAAATTTTCCGTACCACGCAGAAGTGATCAGCATGTGTGATCGAAGGTAAATCCAGCGAGCCCGCGACGTCGTGCGCGCACACTTTGTTTTCATTATTCGAGGTTTATCGATTCGCCGATTCAATTAGGTTGAGCTCGCGATAACACCCCGTCGAAGTTGACGAGGATAACGATACTTCCTCGGCGAGCGCGCCGAGGAAGATTCATCCGAAGGGAAGGGGGATGTGTTCGTCACGCGCGAGCGGCCGCTTAATGAACGGCGTTATCACGCCGCAAACCCTATAAAGTTCACGTACGATCGGCGACAAATATAGAAGCCGTTATCGTCTCCCTCCGTATTAGTTAATATGCAAATGAAGGTAATTTAAGTCCTTCGAGTCGGCGCTGTGAGAATAAACTTCTCGTCGTCGTCGTCGTGTCGGAGTCGCCGAAGCCGAGCGTGACGATAGCTGGGTCAGCTCTCGGCGCCGCTAGGTCGAGCGCCGAGGTCGCCATAATTAATCGTCCCCCGACTAATTAATCCCGTTATCCGGACGGGTGAGTGAGAATCTCGGAATCGTCGGGGCGGGGTGCTCGTTGAGCAATAACGAGTCA